GGCGTCCCTGCCACCGCGACCCGGCGGCTCCCTGCCTGCCACGGCGCCCTCCCCGCCCCGGGTGCGCTCTGTTTGCCTGCTATTTTTGGCAGCCTCCGAAGAGCTCCTCTTAGGCTATTAATAATGAGAGTGCGAAATTCGTTTGGCCTCTCCTATATAAGGAAAGGTAGAGGCTTAGAGGCAGCTAAATATACTGGCGCGTGCGGGAGCAAGCGGGGAGGCTTTGGCACCGCGTGTGGAAAAGAGATTGTTTGAACAATGGAAAGACGGACTCACTGCGCATGGGGCCGCGGACGGACGGACGGACACAGGGTGACGGTGCCCATGGACCTGCACCCGCATCGCACCCCAATGCCCCTCTCTTTTCCAGTCTCTCCCAGGGCAGTGACCGAACGCTCCTGTCCCAGCTCTGTCACCCTGGGGACAGCTCCTGTGGTCGGGGGCCACACCAGGGTGTCACTGTGTCCCCAGGAGCCACCAGCATCCCTGCAGTGCCCTTTGCTCACAGGGGTACCCCCATCCATCACCGCAGAGGGGCTGTCTCAGAGCTGTTCCCTGCTCAGTGAGGAGGTCGTTACCGTTGTCGTTACCGTTGTCGTGTCCGTGTCACCTCCACAAGTCCCGGGTGAGGAGTGGGAGCTCCTGGCAGTACGGCCGGGGAGAGCCTGGTCTGGATGAGGCGAAGCAGCAGCAATTTGGGGAATCCTGGTGACAGGAAGGCGCTGGGGAGCAGCGCCAGGTCCTCACGGTCGGACAAGGACAGCGCAGGCACAGGGTGAGGATGTGCGAGAGAAACAACCCCGCTCCGGGCAGAGCCTTTTTCTTCTTGAACTCCTCCAAGCCACGGGCGCTGCCGAGGGAGGGACAAGTCAGGGAGCTCGGGGTGTATTTAAGGCCACACTGAGGTCCCCAGCTCCATCACCGTGCGGCAGCCGCCCTGGTCTAATTAATTAATGTTCCTCTGCTCGTTAGGAGGCACAGCAACCCCAGGTGCGGGTGCAGGCTGAGCCCCCCACTCTGCTGCTGTTCGGCTTTGCAGCAAAATCAACCATCAGCCCCCATTGGGGAGCAGCCAGGGGACCCAGTACCTGGTCAGGACAGCAGGGCCCTGGGGGCTGAGGCTGGAATCCACTTCAAGGAGCAGAAGCCAATTTTGGTTGTGCTAAAGCAGGGTCCACAGTGTGAGGCTGGGCATCGCCTGCTCCCTGTGCCCAACACCCCGAGCGAGGACAGGACTTGGTCCCTCTCAAGGGAGCTCCTGGCAGCCCCGGTGGCCGCACCAGCAGCAGAGCCCCCCCGAACACCACGGGGACACGAGCAAAGGCGGCCCCGTGGCCACAGCACCCACCAAAACCCCGCTACTGGGCGAGAGGAATGAGGGGAGCCCCAGTTCTCACTCACAGAGCGCAGGGGTCTCATTAGGAACCGTCCCGTGGCTGACACTGGAGAAGGGAAGAAGCTGAGCAGCAGCAAAACCTTCCCTGTTTATTCGCAAGAAACATTTTGGTTTTAAAAAATTGCTTTTAGTCTTGATGCAAGCAACACTGCAACCAGCAGACACCGTTAGACCAAGTTCAGACAGGTTGGGCAGCCCCCGCTGCACAGGAGAATGAAGAAAAGATTCGAGAGCAAACTATTTTGAAACTAAATCGCAGCATTTGCCTCAAACATCGTCACTGGTGTCTGAACGCGTTAAAGGAGACAACAAACCCCAGTGGAGCTGCTGGTTCACCCAACAGATGTCCCAGCGTTTCACTTGCACACACGGGTAACTGGGAGCAGCGTCCCTAATTGTGAAATCACGATGCATAGCAATGCAGAAACCTTCCCCAGCAAGGTCAGCCCCGCCGTGGTGCGCAGGGACCGAACCGGCAGCGAGCCCAGGGACACCCCGGGGTGCCAAAGTAACAGCCTTGCTGTGTTAATGGGGCGCTAAAGCAGACCCCGTCCCCGGGCCAGGGGCTCCTGCCTGGGCCACAAGTCCCTGCCCTCGGCCTGGGGGGGTCTCCTCGCCTCCCTCCGTGTCCCAGGCCTTTGAGGCTGCGGGTGCTGCGTCCCCATTGCATGCACAGGGGGGTTAAAGGGGAGCAAGGAAGGGCTGCACAGCCCGGGAATATCAACGGGAGCTGGGAGCAACGCTGGGC